AAAAAAAAAAAAAAGTATCATTTCTATTCTAGGGAAAAATAAAATGTTGTGCAGAGAAACTAAGTAACCTCTGCAGTTTACAAGACCAGTAAGAGAAGGGTCTGGCACCAGCGCCCAGGTCTCTGACCAGCCCAGGGAAGTGACAGAACTGCTCAACTATTCTCCCTACTGCGCTGAAATTGTAGTTTTTATGTTATTATTATCTATGTTGCCATTTTTAAGCACCCCAAGTGACAGCAGTGTCCGTGCTCCATGCTAATTAGTATAGCAAAAGAACACATACAGCTCGCTGCTGGTAATCTGAATCTAAATAAAGGTCATGGCCCTCGTTCACCCAAGTTGCCACTGCTTAAAGTTATAAACGTTCTTGCCACCCTAAACCTCCTTCTCCACTTAATTTTTCTCCAGAACACTTATGAGCATCTCAAATACTATTCATTTTACTTATTTTATGTCTTGCGTGATCTCCCTCCTCCCCTCAATAGAAAACAAGCTCATTGCAGCTCACTGTCTACTGTCTCCCTGTGTCTAGACAGACCCGGCACATGGAGGTACCCAATACATATTTCTAGAATGAATAAATGAATACTAATTGCTGTGAAATCACAAATTAACAGGCTCTTTTCCAAGACTGATGCAGAAATTAGCAATCTGCCTGCAAAATGTGCAGCGTTCCTGTGAACGAGAAACTGCCACCATCTCCCAAAGGAGCTCAGTGAGCTATTTTGCATAGGCAGGAGTTATATACATTTTTGGACATATTAGGCCCCCTCTGGAGTGTGGGTGAAGGATGGAGGGTGTGTGCTGGAGAAAAGGACAGTGGATACCTGGGGTTTCTAGATCTACCTACTGCTTTTTGATACTGCTCTGAATAGGTTGGGATGAGGAACACAGGGTTCCCTGGAATCTTAAAAGAAAACCAAAGGAATGTGATAGCCTGGTTTTGGCTAACGGATAATTAATTATCACCTCCTACTTTGTCTCCTATTTTCTCACAGGGCCTGCTAAGGGAGTTTGACCACCAGTTGCTGGCGGCCGCAGAAGCCTGCAAGCTGGCAGCCGCCTTCAGTGCCTACACACCCCTCTTTGTGCTCACAGCTGTGGTAAACAAAGTCACCCCCTTTCTAATACCTCCCCCAGAGTGGTCTCTGATGTCCCCCATGAGAGGAGGTCCAATCTTTTTTTTTTTT